CAGGCAGCCCCCCTTGGCAGTTCACCCCCCCATAGATGGCCAAAGAGCACTTCCCCGAAGCAGGAGGCTGGTGCGAGAGAAGCACCAACTCCAGCGTCAAGGGAGAACCTCTGCAGAACCCCTGCCCCACCCGGTCAACTGCCAGGCATCCCCCCCGGGGGGGGCACAAGGCCCTGTGGACTCTGGAAGCTGTCGCCCAAAGAAGGACTTTTCCCAGGCACAGAAGCCTGGGCTGTTCAGGTGCGGTTGCTCAGCATCTCTCTTAGTCATGGGCTCTCATTCTGCCTTTTAAGGGAGGAGGGAAATTCCTCTCCCCAACATTTTCTAGGCTTCTAAATCCTGCTGCCACCCGGCCCCGTCTTTCTGAGATGTGAGGCTGGCAGGCGTTCTCAGGAGACCAGCTGCCATGCTGCCGCCTTCGTTCCGGAAAGCCACATTTACCCAACGTACACCAGATTGGATTCTGAGGAGGAAGGCGGATGGAACTTTACACAGTTCACACCACATCCCTCTTTTTCTCCTCCTCCTTCCTGTCGACACCACCCCCACCCCCCACCCCTGAGCTGCTTTGAAAGAATTCATGTCGGGGGGTTTTAATTGCATCACATTGGATTCAAATGCCAGCAGAATTAACTTCTGTGCAAGACTTAAGTGTTTTTGCAAACTGAGGCAATCTGTGTGCTTCTCCACCCCCCCACCCCCCGCCCCAATCCGGGAAGAGATGCGATCTAAGTTGCTCATAGGGTCTTTCCTGCCATTTAGAACCTCTTGTTCTGATGTGCCGAATGAAACAGGTGGGAGGCTGCAAGAAAAAGTGGACGTCTCTTTTCGTGCGAGTGCAGGAGGACCTCTGTTCCACCCGTCCTGTCCCAGGAGCGGCCGCTTCCTTTGTATCAGGACTTGGAGCCGTTACGTTTTTGGACGGTGACTCCGGGAATTGCCCAGCAGGGTCCATGCTGGCTGGGGGATTCTGGCTGTTGTGATCCCACTTAATGTCTAAGCACTCTTTTATGTAACACACTAAAAACGAGTGAAGGCTGCTCAGCAGTTGCTTAAGAATTCTTCCTCCTCTGAAGAGAGACGAGTGGACCTTTTGTACCACTGGCTGAGGGCTAGCCGTTGGGAAAGGACTGCTTTGCGACCCCCACAACAGGGTAAAAGAGTATCTTTGGCTGCATGGTGAGGCATCAGGAGGTGGGTTGGTGCAGAAGCCTGGGTTTGACCAGGTGGGGCTGAATTTGAGCTGAAAAGTGTTTCTCTTCTGCTCAAAGCCTGTTTTTAAACATGAAAGAAGTGGCCATGTAGAAAGAGTCTCATTGAGCATGTGTAAAGTGCCTTCTCTTTGCTGAGGGGCTTCTGGGTCATCTTCAAAGGCTGCTGAAGGGCCTGGAGTCCGGCCCCTGCTTTTGCAGCCCATGGAGCAAGCCCAAGACCCCAGTGGGGAGGTCTCTTTCTCTCGTTCTGTTTGCTCCCCCTGGGCCAAAACAGGGATGGGCAACGAGAGGCCCCAAGAGGGTGTGGATTGCAAAGGATTGCAAGGACAGGTTAATGCAACGAAAGGCAGTGGCGTTTGTGGCGCACAGAAAGAACAGCTCGGAGTATCTACATTTTGATTGCCTCAAGTCTTGGGTCCCTTTTAGGAGAAAGGTGGGGTGGAAGTAAAGGAAGCCAACCCTTGGGGACTTTTGACCGCTTAACCACTGTGTGTGCCCCCCCCGCTGCCATCACCACCCCAGCCAACCTTTTGCAGGCTCAGGGTGGGGTCCCTGGCATGGGTGGTGGGGCCAACCTTGGCCAGAGCAGCAGAGGACAGGGGTTGGGGCTGGACTCCCCCCCCCCGCAGGGTGGGCAGCAACGCTGGCAGCCGGAGCCAGCCTGAGGACGCTTGGCTCTGGCTGCCCAGGGGCATCACCAGCCTTCGGGGCAAAGAGTTTGCCAGGGCTTTGGGGGTCACCTGGGAAGTAGGGTCGTGGGAGCTATCAGGGTTCATGCTCAGATATCTCTAGGAGCCCTTTTGCATTCCTGCCGTGTTCTCTGGCTTCGGATGACGGAGCTGCTGATGTTGTCTCTGGAGCGTCCAGACGGAAGGGATGCCCGGCAGGAAGCCTTGGGGTGGCTCCCTTCAAGCAAATGCAAAGAGTTGCTGCCTCTTGGCCTCATCCTGCGCCTGCTGCTCTTGTGGTTGTCCTGCAACCAGTATTAGATATAGTGATAACTGACTGCCATCCCAGGGACTCCCAACAGCGCCTGCTATTCAGCTGCCGCTTAATGTTCTTTCTCACTTTCCATGTGGGGCTATCGATGTGATTATCAGTAGGGTGCCTTCCCCCCACCCCGAAGAAAAAGCTTACAGTGTCTTTGGTACAACCAACCAACACCGGAAAAGACCTGTTGAGATCTAAAATACGAGAAGACAGAGTTTAACCCTAACCCTGCAACTGCCACGGAAAGCCCACCAGCCCACCAGGGGATGTGGCTTTCTAAGGACTTTTTGAAACTTAGGGAGTGGGCCAGGCTTTCTCCCACGGTGGCACCAAAACTCAAAAGGTACCTCCTCTTCCTGCTGGGAAGGTGCAAACCTACCTGCCCGGAGCAGATCCGTCCCCTTCAGCCCTGCCTCTCAAAG